TGCGCCCCCCCAGTGGTTTCAAACATTTTCTGCGGCCCCCCTATGGATTACAAATGGCTGTCTGGTTGAAGTGACGGGGGGATGGGGGGGTGAAAGGGCATCGACTTTTTTGGGGGGCAAAATGAATGTACGTAGCTGAAAATAGACACCAACATCGGTAGCCTACAGGCTACTTGTTAAGCTTAAGGTTCTGTATTGATATTAGCTAGTCATCTTTTAGCTTACATTAGCTAGACATCTTTTAGCTGACATTACCTGCATCCAGCAGCTTTACTCAACTCAGTCTGTTAGTTTGGAGGGAAAAACTGTGAAAAGCTCTTTGCGTTTTGCTGGTTTGCTGCCGTGATTCTAACACAAACCTACGTAGCTCCGCCCAGCAGCAGCAGGTCTCCTTCGCTGACGTACAGCGCGAGCGTCGTAGCGCTCATGTTGCGTTTAAAGGCGGCTCGGAAAAAACAGGTTACAACATGTTAACAACTGATTAAACAGTTTTAACTGCTGATAAAAGTGACAGAGGATGCAAATATGGGAAGTGTGGAAGCCTCTACTGTATCAAATTGACATTGGAATAACAGAGAGTTGGCCATTCTAAGGTAAAAACCCAGCGCATACAGTGTTCATGTTTTTTTTGGGTTTTTTTATCCAGACGGCTTCCCGCGCCCCCCCTGCAATGACACGGCGCCCCCCCTAGGGGGCGCGCCCCACAGTTTGGGAACCTCTGACTTAAACTGACCATGACACAGGATTATCACCATATCTTCTTAAAGGACCAGTGTCGTGTTTTCTAAATACAAAGCCCCATTTTATAGTACAATCCAGTAACTATATTACCTTCTGTTGGGATAAAAATGCTATACATTCCAAATATAACTTAGAGAATTGGCGTTGTAATTTAAGGGACTGAAATTGTGTCTCTGTCTCTTTAAGAAAGCTCTTTCTGAAGCATTTTAGCATTGCTCTTAGCAGAAGCTGCTGTAACAAGCTCAGACAGTTCATCCAGGTTTTTGCTAATTGCTGCTGACTAGTCTGAAGGAGCCGAGCAGGGGAGAATGCATGAAAGGCTCAAAGCAGGAAATAACATGAAAACATGATGGAAAGATTAAAAAAATTACTTTACATAAATCTTTTCCTTTTTAAAGTGATTTCTACAAGTCTGAGATTTCAGTGTTGGCGCTTTAGAAACGCCCCCAATAACGCTGACGGAGCTTTTCCTGAAGCAGACTTTAAACTAACAGCAGCTGCAGGAAGCTGCAGCGTCTGGCTAAGCAGCCGCTCTGTCACCTGTCCACCTGCTCTACACACACACACACACACACACACACACACACACACACACACACACCTGGGCTCAAACTCAGCAGACACAGGAAGAGCAGACATGGTCGAAAACGGAGAGAAACAGGAATGGATCAGATGAGAAAAGAGACAAACAGGAAACATGGGACGACCGCGTCGGGCGCTTCACGAGTCACTGTGTGTTTGGAGAGAGTGTGTGTGTGCGCGTGTGTGTGCGTGCGTGCGTGCGAGAGGCAGTGAGGCGCCTCCCCTCCTGGAACCAGGGGCCTCAGAAGTTACAATACAACAAAACTTCAGTCATAATATTTCAAGAATGAAGTAGTCATTGCTGACATGGAAAATAATTGAATTATATTACAATATTATAATCATAACAATAATAATAATAATAATAATAATTTAAAATGGGAAATAATTAATATTGTAACACATCAGCATCCAAATATTATGAGCAGAACTTTGAAAAGACTGAGTATGTTGAGAAGAAAGAACTGGAAATCACTTTAAAACATTTTTCTAGTAGTTCAAGACTTTATTCTGTTAATATTATGACTTTATTCATGTAATAATAAAAACATGTTGTAGTTCAGCCCTGATTTTCCACCGCAGTGTCGTGATTGACTGTCGAAGGGTAACTATGTTTTATTTTTACTTGGTCAACATTCAGCCTCAATTTCTGTTGCTGACTGCCAGGAGGTCATGTGACCCTGAGGTCATGTGACCCTGAGGTCATGTGACCCTCGCCCTGTGGACGCTAGCGGCTGATTAGCCCTGAGCGCAGCCTCCTGCAGCCGGCCTAAAGCATGTCAGAACACAGAGGTCTTACTGTGGAGGGACGGAGAGGAGCTTGGTCCTCCAGCCTTCTTCTGGGCCTCCTCAGACAGCGCCCCCTGCTGCTTGGGCTGGCTCTGGCTTAGGTACTGGTATAAGCGAATGTATGGGTGCTCTGTGGGAGGTGTTTGGCTCTTTGGTGTTTGAGTCTTACTGTCGAGCAGAGGAGCGCTGCGGTCGTTCACCACCGCCACCTTCTTCAGTTTGGTGCCTTTGCAGATGTCCGACAGCAAGGCGCCGCGACCTTTGACCTCCTCCCTGTTCAGCTTTGGAGGGGTGGTGTTGGCCTGAGGGGGGAGATGCTGTCAGTGTTTTGATGATAGCTGCTGCTGTTCTGAGGCTGTTTGGAGTTTAACCTCACCTGGCTGAAGGTGGGGGGGGGAGGCGGCCCCCCTGGGGGAGCAGGAGGGGGCGGGATGGGCATCCTACTGCTGATAACACCTGGAAGACAACAACCAATCATCAGCAGAACCTTTCCTCCGCAAACCCAGCATGTAAATAAATAATCTGCGCTGGTTAATCCGGGATGTGACTCCCTGATCCTCTGCTTATTAGATCCGTTTTATGAATGGGAGATTATAAATAAAGACTCGTTCAATACCGGAACCATGTGGAACCGGTTCCTTAAAACTGGAACCGGACCAGTCAGCCCCCCAAATAGACGGACACAGACGCACATCGCATCTTCTTCTGGTCCTTTTTTTCCTGGTCCTTCTGTTTTCCTTCAGCTGCAGTTAGCTCCGTTAGCATAATGCTAACATAGGCCTGATTCTGTATGAAGCTAGGTGAGCATCGGCGATGAGCTCACGTTAAGTACTTTAAATTACTAAAAACTACTTATATCCGTACCAGAACCATCCAAAGTTCGGTTCAAAGCCTCTCTGTGTTACTGATCATCACAGAGCACCGCTAGCTCCGCGGCTAGCTCCCCCTGCTAAAAGCTAACCGCAGCATCACCGTCACACCTGCACAGGTGAGATTGGCTGCTCCTACCTGAGAGCCTGAACGCCTCTCCACCGGTTAGCTCATCCTCCAGCTGTCGGTTAACAGGCCTAAGCTCGGTCCGGTTCGGTTCGGTTCGGTCCGGACGCTACTGAGAACACCGCTAGCTTGAGAGCTGCAGAGTCAACACGAGGTCACGTGATCTGAGTGTCTCGCTACTGAAGCTGGTTTTATATTTATTTGTTCTTTTCAAGTACCTTAAAAAAATCATGCTATTTATTTTGCTTCCTGATGTATTTTTCTAGATGTTTTTTATTTATTATTTATTATTATTTGTCATTTTTAGTTTAATCAGATTTTTTAATCTGATCAATTTCACTTTTATTGCTGCAGCTGCTCTTGTTTCTTTCGGTTTATGACAGACTGTTCATAGAATCTAACAAGGACGAAAGAGACAAAGATTGCTGTAAAAGCAGAACCTACGATAAAAGGGAACATTTCACTTTAATTTTGTGTGTGGCTCCAAATCCAGGCCTCCATTGGTTAATAAATTTGATTTCCATTGATGATTTTTGTGTGATTTTGTTGTCAGCACATTCAACTTTGTACAGAACAAAGTATTCAATGAGAATATTTAATTCATTGAGATCTAGAATGTGTTATTTGAGTGTTCCCTTTATTTTTTGAGCAGTGTATATATATATATATATAAAACAAATTCCCTTCTCCCCCTCCGCGGGTGGTCTCTCTCTCTCTCTCTCTCTCTCTCTCTCTCCCAGAGGCCTGGGAGCTTGAGGTTCTCCTCCAGTATCTTGGCTGTGCCTAGAACTGCACATTTCTGGACTGAGATGTCTGATGTTGTTCCTGGGATCTGTTTGAGCCACTGCTCCAGTTTGGGGGTGACTGCCCCGAGGGCCCCGATGACCACAGGCACCACTGTGGTCTTCACCTTCCAGGCCTTCTCCAGTTCCTCTCTGAGGCCCTGGTATTTCTCCAGTTTCTCCTGCTCCTTTTTCCTTTTGTATATATATATATATACA